TTTCTGTAGGAAGCTCAGACAGGATGTGGAGAGAGAAGAAGTACCATGTATGGTGACATATCTAATCTTCTGCACCTGGAAAGACTCTGGAAGCTGGTCCTTAGTAGTTTAGACATTACTGAGTCTAGAAGATGGCATTTCTCTAGCCTGGATCATCTAGGGCACAGAATCCAATAAGGTATGCAGAACTGAGAGTAAAAATGGAAGGAGGGTCCAGCTTCTTTTCCTAAGACAATAGCGTGTGTGTGTTTGTGTGTGTGTGTGTGGTGAGGGGGCATAGTATCTGAAAGTGAGAGGTCCTAGGGACAGATGTGTCAAGAGTTGTGCCTGGGCATAAATTATATAGGGCAGGGAGTGGGTGTGCCAGAAGAGAGAGAATTTCCCTCAGTTGGATGGATTTCCCTATGTCCTCGTGATCAGTGTACCTCTTATACTAACAAGCTTCTGGCCTGGCAGAGGATATCCTGGCAGTCTTTCTCAATGGACTGTAATTTACTCAGAAAATGAAGACTGCCATGGGATCAGTTGTGCTGAAAGGCATTGGGAAATAGCCAAGGTAGGAGCTGGAATTGCCATGAAAAGAGTGTTCTGGAGGGGGAATGGCAAGTTACAGGCAGACTCAGATGTGGCAAAGTGACTGCACCATGGGAGGTACTGCATTATAGATCCTCACTGAAAACCCTGTTGACATGTTCCATTGAGCTGATAGTCTATGGATGGTGGGTGGTAGACAGTAAATGAAATTTTGGAAAGTCTTAAACTTCAAACCCTCTCTCCCTGAATGTGACAGAAATTGGTTGCAAAAGCATGGAAATCTAAGAACCAGGGAAATGATGGCAGAGGGGGGTGGGGGAACAGAAAGACAGCAACATGAACCATTTTTCACTTGCTCAATTTTTACTGCATGTTAGACACTATAAGAACTTAACCTGTTTTATCTCATTCAATCCTCACAACACTTCAACTGTTTAGGTTCTAATATTATCTCTAAGCTGCAGATGAGGAAACTTAAGCTTAAAGACCAAAGAGGATGGTGATCTAGGCCTCGCGCCTGCCATAGGGGCAAGGCTCACGGCTGACATTGGTGGGCCACTTGAACTTAAAAGAACTGAGCTGAAAATTAGGAAAGAGAGAAAGTAATATCCATAGTCTCTGGTATCACTCAAAGAACATGGAGAGTATGAAGATGAAGTTGATATGATCTTAGTCATAAGTTTCACAAAGACACAGTGGGAAGGGTGGTTATGTGGGAAAGTACTTAGATTTCAGTATAATCTAGGAGTTGAATTCGGCAGACGCGGAGGGAGGATTTCTAGGGAAGGGCTGATGTGTCCAAAGAAGGTAAACCTTTCTGTCAGAAATGGTTTCCTCTCTTGACCCAGAGCTATCATGCACCGCCTGAAAATTTCTGCCTCTCTTTGAGTTATTGGTTAGATATCTATCAGTATCTACTTGAGTTTATAAACACCTACTTTTCAAAATCTGAATGACTTAGTGAGGTTATTGTATTATTGGTCAGTCCACAACATAACATGAATTAGTTGTATCTAAGTCTTTTTTTTCTAATATCTAATTAAAGTCAGTTTTACTGAAAAAGTGAATTTTGATAAAGAAGAGGCAGAGAATAACAACTAACTATAGAATAGGAAAATGGGCAAAACCCTGTGAAGCTGATGTGAAGTAGGCTGGCCACAGTATATCAAAGAAGTTGGAAGAGAGGGCAAAGGGCTCAGGGAGTGGCTGAGATGCATTTTTATTTATTGTAAAGTTTTGCATGGGTCTCTCTCTATCACCTTGAAAATAAAGAGAGAATATTCATCTTCACTCTCTCATATTACACGACCCCTTGATTTAAGGACACGGAATTCAGGTGAATAGAGCTAGTGTTTGTTTATTTATTCAACAAACACCTATTTAACTACTGTCTATTAAAGGGCTTTTGTGTGCTAGTCTGAGAAGCTAACTGCTATTTATAGCATTGCTTATTCTATGGAAACAGAAAGATACTAGGGATGCAATGAAATATTGGACTATAACTTTTGTGTAAGTTACGGCTGTCTGTATTGCTTCAAGTGCTAAGAATAGAAGAGAGCTGTTTCTGAATTTCCCAGAAAACCCACTGGTGACCTGAAGATTACATCTTTAAAAGCATCAAGCCCATTGTCAGCAAAACTATAAATAATATTATGCTGTTTTTGGTATGTGAATGTAGTACTATTAACACATCAAAAATGGATCACAAATAGCACATTCCATACGTTTTACATTTTTTTCCCCCAATAATGCCTAGTTGTCTCTCTTAAGCCTTCAAGTGTATTTTACCACTCATTGTAGCTACCTAAGACATATGTTTGCCGATTTGCTAACTGGAGTTATCTTTACCCGGCAAAAAAAAAAAAAAAGAGTAATAAAGAATGAAACAAACAATTCCAACCCTAGGCTCCAGTACTAAGTGGGAGTAGGATCTGTGATTCATCTCATTAACACTGTACTTAAATCAACTGAGTTAAGCAACTACATTGATGAAATATCACAGAAATTCACCCATACATGGCATTCGTCTGTTGAAGTGCACACCACCATCTGATCAGCAGTATGGCCCTGATTGGGTTTTTTTTTTAAGCCTCTAGTTCATGTGAACATATCTTGCTTTTAAATTAAGAGGTGTAAGTGAATTAAGCATCATCTTTGGAGAATACTTGGATGGGTAACTATCACTACCACAGGGCTTTACGGGCTTTTGAAGCATATTCAGGGATTCCCCCAGTCAGATAAGGGCTGCTGTGCCCAGTCTGTGGATGGACCAGGGCATTTGGATCAATTCTCCCTTTGGGTGCTTGCTTTAGACCATTTCCTTATTTATCATAGACAATGGGGGAACTAAAGACAATGGGAAAAATGCCAATAAGTTAAATTGTTTTGTTTTTATGGCTTTGCTAAAGAACAGTGAGAAAAGTCAGTGAAACTGAATGGTTACAATTACATTCAAGGATTTTCTGTGGCTTTTGATTATCTGTGACTTGCCTTCCACTATTACCACAGAGAAGTCATGGGAGAGAATAAGTGAAGCATAAATGTGATTGGAGCACTCTACGTGTTATCACCTATGTTGTCTTTATATTCTCAAAACAATTTTCAAATTTGAATCATGTTTTTGTAACAACTTTGCATTAACATAAACATAATGTACAGACATCTATACACACATGTGCAATACTAACAGCCAAGAATATATTCTTAAGAAATGTGAGATATTTCTTATAGCACTCCGCCATGCATTCTCACCTCTATTCAGGCTAGCTGGTACATGGAAGGTGCCACATTTTCCCACATGCCTTGCCCATGTCACATCCTTCACAGGAGGTGAGATTCTCACTCTCTTCTACCTTTCCAAATCCTACCTCCCACAGGCAACTTTCTGGAACAATCCATCCAGCCGCCACTGACTTCTTCTTCCTTTGACCTCCTGCAAGAATCACCAATGTAGCACTTGAAGGAATGCTGCCTTATTCGGCCTCTGATTTATTTCATATGAATTCATCTTGTTTACCTAACTAGATTGCATGGAGGTTGAAATATGATTTCTATATCTATAAACACATCAGGCACAGTGCCTACTTAGCACATAGAGGTACTTAATAAATACCTATTTATCAAGCATTTTAAAAGAAGACAAAATTATCTGTAAATCCTCAAGCTAGTCTGACTCTGTTGTGTTTTCATTAAGAGTGAGGCAAAATTTGAATTTCTAAAATTCCATAGCACCTTTCCTCCAAACAGTTCCTAATCCTTCCCCACAGATTATTTCAGTTTCATAAAATCCTGGAGTGGAACGCAAGGAAGGACAGAAACTATAACTCCTAGGACTTTTATATTCCTCTTAGAAAGTGCACACATGAATGGTGGCACCTTTGGTGGCTCACACATTTGACACCTGCCTCACCTGTGGTAGAGGTACAGTAAAACCTCTGTTAACCAGTCCCATTTATACAGAATCTTCAAATAAGCAGAGGCATGATCCTTCACATATTAAAAGAGGGAAAATAGCAAAAACAAGATCAAGGATTTATTTCAAAATCCATATCCTTAGAAAGCTCTGCACTTATTACATATTCCGTCCGATTTCATACACCTTCCTAGATATAATAATTGATAATTTCAATAATAAACGTTTCATGAGCACTTACTTCCAGCCAGAAATCAAGCAAAGTGCTTTAAATACCTAATCTCATTCAAATATTACAAAAAACCTACAAAGTATTCACTACTGTTATACTCATTTAAGATACGAAAATGGAGACACCTAGGAGTAAAGCAACTTGCACAAGTTCACACAGCTTAGAGTCAGCCTTTGGATTCAGGTAATGCCAGAGCAAAATGGCTGTGCTCTGCTACAATACAGTACTTACCTGTAGACAATCACAATTCTCAATCATTAAAGATTTCCCAGGTATATTCTAGCTACTAAACTGAAATGTTGCCAACACGTTAGATCAACCCTCTATTTAAAATCAACTAAACACATCACCCTTCATATCCAACCCTGTTAATCAGGTTTTAATGTACTAAAGATCTATATGGAAAAGAAAGTGGGGGAGGAAGAATTTGTTGACCCTATTTTATGAATTCAAAAATAAAGGCAATCTCATCATCAATTTGTTGGAAATAGGGCATGGATTAACAATAGAAAAGTAGTTTGGAAGTAGTTGAAATTTCATCCAAACCTACATTTCTAGAGGGCTTGAAAGGTGATCTGAAAGAAAACTGGGTAGAGAATCTTCAGTTATCGCAGGTATAAATTATTTGAGCAATGTTGGGGAAAGGTACATTTGCTTAGTTTAGTGACATTGGGAGAAGTAAGGGTGAATTCATGTTGGTGAGGAACAATTCCATTGGTCAGTACAGGAGCTGATAAAGCAAATATTCTGTTTAAGTCAAATTTTTATTGCCCAGTGATTCCCCGAAAAACATAGGGGACCAAGGTTCTGTAAGGTTCTTACTTGGCGTCAGGGCTGAAGTTTAATGGTGACTCTTGAAAATTCTGCCTTTCTGTACCAGGGAATTCCTTCAGGCTGTTTCTCTTTACCGCTACTGTTGCCCCTGCAATAGCATAACAATCTTAATGAGTTGGCATAATATCTCTTAATAAGGGATTTTTGGACCATTCCTACGGCTGGGACATTTCTAGGCCCTTGACTAGGGAGAGGCTGGTGATCCTTAGCTACTGACTAATTCTAAAAATGAAACTGTAGAGAACTCTTTAATTTCCTTCTACAGAGTTAGAAAGTGAGTGGAAAATGATTGTAAGGATTTCAATACCGTATACTATGGTTAGAATAAGTATCTATTAAGTTGCTAATGCACCTTTCTAATCCATCACTCCTCTCATCTCACCCAAGAGTCTAGCATCTGGGGATCCTTCCTGCTACAGGCAGGGTCTAGAGCCACTACAGGACTCTAAAAAAGGATAACTATACAGGTCCCCTTCTCCTTTCTGCAGATATTGCTCAGGAAGCAATTCATTCTCCTTGGGTATTGCCTCCTTCTAGTTTATTTTTCCTTCAAGTTTTCCTTTATGATTGATTTTAACTTCTGAAGAATCTTGATCTTACATGGGATATGTCTCAAAACATTTGTGAATTTCCAAATCTGAAAATAACAAAAGCAAATAATTTTCCAATCTGCAACATGTGCACGGTTTTGGGACTTCAAAAGGTGATTGTGAGGATAAATATAAGAATGTTTGAAATTTAATAATTAAATGAGCAACATGAAGTTACACCGAGATGGAAAACACTGACACATGAGCCATTACTTCTTCTTGCACCCATATGTTGGTACTCAATCGTGTCATTCTTATTCCAGAACCCAGATTCAACCTAGGAATCCTTTCAAAACACTGGGCTAGAAAGCCATTGTTGGTCCATAAGAATTGGCACTTGGTATTGTGATAAAAAATAACATTCTAAAGCATACTTTGGAAGTTAAATGCTTCTCTTTCACTCTTCAAGGACTCTGCGTTATCTGCTTGCCTGAATCTGATTGCTGAGTGACCAGAGATGGTGAGGTTTTGTGAGAAGAAGTTACCAAGGAGATGGACAAAGTCAGAGTAGCCATCACTGCTACTCCTTTTCTCCCGCCCACCCAAGTGGAGAAAAGAGACAGGACCTTTTCCTCCTGTGTCAATTTAAGAATCATCTCTTTACTTAGACTACTCAAAATTGGGAGTTCATGTGAAACAAGCTGTTAAACCCACATATCACCAGGTTTTCGACAATGGCAGACAGAAAGAACTGCAAAAACATCTTGGTATCCCTTTCTTTTCATGTAATTCTTTCTGAACCATTCTAACCCATAGAAAATACCAATTTAATCAAAACACATTTCAGGAAAAAGAGGAACATCCTTTGGATACGTGATTTGTCATCTTAAATCAGCAATAATTGCATCACACAGGTGTGCTGAGAGCTAGGTTTGGAATAAGATTGTTCCCTACCTGTAATCCTCAGAAGCCCTCACTTACATATGAAGGCTTGATGGGGGTTTTCAGGTTGACTGATGTTTCCTTATTTCGTGGTTACCTTTTGCCCTTGAGGGGATGACTCAGGAAGGAAACATCTGAAGAAAAATCTGAGTGAGGACTAGTGTGTTACCAAGTGTCAGTCTTCAAAGGCTAGTCGGCTTAGTACATGTGATAGAAGCTGAGCTATGGAATGCAAAAGGCAACAGGCCCAAACTGGCTTGGGAACAATGGAACTTTCGGGAAGCCTCTGTTTTCTCAAAGCCTCAGTCTCCAGCCAACAACATTTGCCAGGTATTAAAAGAAGGGTGGGAGGGAATCAGTGGGTGAGGTGAATGCTACATACAAACGTCTCGAAATTTTTGTTGAAGCTTTGAATCTTCCCTTGTGTCATTCTTAATAAACTCTCTGCTGAAAACATGTTAATGATTTGTATAATTTTGGAAGCTTTCATAATTATGGGGGTATGTGCATGTATTTGGAGGTCGGAAAGATCAGTCTGTATGAGGATTGGTGAAGTCTCTGGGTGTGTGTTGGCTGCCTGAAGGTGAAAGATGAACTGGCCCACACGACCTCTTTGGTCCCTTCCAACTCTAAGTTATGTAATCCTAATGACCTTCAAAAAAAATCTAAGAGTGTTCCCTCGAAAGGTTGCAGATAAGGCAATTAAGAACGGGCAATAACTGATTATTGCCCTTCCCCCCAGTTTGAGTGCTGCTTCAAGCATTTGGGAAAGAAACAAAGAATAAAATAAAAATAAGAAGGCAAAGTCCCCTCTCTTAAGGCAGTAGACAAGCAAGTGAAGTTTCTCTGATTTTATTCTAAGGCAGTTTGATCATTTAATTTATTTATATTTTTATCTATCTACAGCTGACAGTACGCAAGTAATTATGTTTTTACATTTTAGGCAAGGAAAAAATGGAATGGACTTTTGCCTAACACTGTAGCCAGACTGTTAATGTCTTGCCATGGCTTGTGGCTACCCAATGGATATTCTAAAGAAGTTTTCTGGATAAAGCATTAGATGTCAAAAAAGACATGGCATCTAAGACCTGTGAATGACTGGGAAAAAACTGAAATTCCTATACATGGTCAACATTTTATCTTTCTTCTTCAAGAAGTGATTTCCTTGAAAGGTGCAGGCAAGCATTTTCTTTTCTTAACATGTAAGATAGGACTGCATGTTAAGACATGCCTCATATATGATTTCCACATGGATAGCAATAAATCTCTTTCTCCCTCAAGAAATCTTATCATAGTTCAAATGAGTGAAAATAATTCCCATATTATTTGGATAATTCTGAATCTGTTCTAATTTACTAAATCGCTAACTTGTTGCAATTATTTACAAAATTTGCTATTTACCAATCATTGTGACACACATAAAAAGTGATACCGTGTATTCTGGATAAGAACTACTGCCCTTAGGAGCAGAAGAAGCAACAGGGAAACAGATCAAGCCAACACCTTATTCTTGTAAAAGTATGGATAATATATTCATCCATCTATTTTTTTATTTTTATATCCATTCATGATCGGAAATTTATTTCAAGAAAATCATTATAGCCATGAAAGATGGCACAGATTGGCATGAAAACAGGCTAGATCCAGGGAAAGCAGCTAGTGTAATCATTGGGATGAGAAATAAATAGGGTCACAGCTAAGGTGGAGAAGGACACTGAGAACTGGAGAAAATGGAACCCCTTAGTCAGCTGTAGGATTAGAAAAACAATAGCAACTGTCATAAACACAGGCATCCAAGATGTTGGTATACGGTCTTTGTGGATTTATTACCAAGTTGCTTTCCCTTTTATTGGCATTCAGTGGTCATGTGGTCCTTGACCCTGCTTTAGAGAAGAAAAGTCATACAGGAACACTTACTCTTTCTCCTACCTAAGACCATTGTTACAGGAGGAGAACTCGGACTGGACTGCAGGGCTGCTTAGCTACGCCAAGCTGGGGAGATGAGCTGCTACATTCATGAGCGTAGTTATATCTCAAACTGTTGAGTTTGGAATTCTCCCTAGGGAATACTGGCTGGGGTGACTCTCTTCTTAAAGTGGTCAGTTAGTCTTGTATGTTTACGAAAAAAGTGACCCAGGGCGAAACCTAAAGAAAACTGTAATACAGAGTTATTCATGATTGGACCACCTATTCAAACCATTTTCTAATGTATCATCCTGTCCCTGACAACTTTCACACCTTTTCCCAATTTCCTTTTCAATAATTCCCCTTTCCTTTAGGTGTGACTCCATTGCAAAAATTAAAATTTTAATGAGGACTCTAAAATAATTCTCAAGGGGTGGAGATTAGGGGAATTGGGACACAGCTTTCCTAAGGGCCATTTCCATATAGCGCACTCCCTCCACCCCATCACAAACAAAGATTGTTATGTACTCCTCCCTGCCCAGGTTGAAGACTACCACTCTAAAACCTTAGTGTTAGAGATTTCAATGGTGAAAAAGCAGGCAATGAATTGGTTAGTTGGGGCTGGGAAAGTTCCTGCCCAATAACTTATCTAATTCTGTTAAGCAGAAAAGCAGAAAGACAATTACTCCTCCTGCTCTGAAGACTTAGCTCTGCTGGTCCTCATGCTCTGAATCCAAAAACCATCAGGGAATGAGTTCAAATAAGTATAGGCTACTAGGACTTCTCTGCCAGTTCTTATTCCATCTGTATTTCATTGATGAGAAAAGAAATAATGAATCCTTTTTGACTTTATATTCTCACAGGTAAGATGATCATTAAAATACATGTAGTACTTACTATTTGCCAGGCACTGGTCTTAATGCTTTTTATGTTAATATTGCTCAATTTGTATACTCTTTATGTACTAATATTCTCATTTACTCATCTGAGATACGTAATATTATATTGACATTTTACAGAAATATGAAGCATGCTGAGAGCTTAAATCATTTGCCTAAAGTCACACAGCGAAGAAATAAGTGACCAATCCAGGATCTGTGTTCTCAACTACCATGCTGCCTCTTTAAAATGTTAGATTATGAACTTAAGTGGAAAACCTCTGGTGTGGTTCTAGTTTAGAAAAATGAGAGTAATCAAAGGAAGAGGGATCAGAAATCATAGAATATCAGAATTGCGAAGGGCCGTAGAGATGATGGGTACTGCCCTGGTTGGAAATGATGACGCTGAGATCCCAAAAGGAAACATGTCTTCCCTAAATCACAGTTAACCAGTGGAACAGCTGGGGTCAGAATTCGTGTCTTCCGAATTCTCACTGAGTACATGAGGAGGAAGAAATTGGTGGGAGCCAGCAAACTTAATGAGCCCAAGAAAGAGATGATTATTGGAAGGGAGAGGGCTGGGAATACTCTTCATATGGCTCTAAAAATGTGAAATTGTCAGCCTGAAATCTGTACTAATCCAAAGTCAGTAAGGTTTTCTATGTTGTCATTTATTGGTAAGTTCCTAAGTCCTTTTTGGAAGCTAATTCTCTAGGAGAATATCCAGATATTATCATGACTTTTCAACCAATAGGGCAAGTAGTGCCCCTCTACAGTGATGTCCTCTTTGCACAATTGACTAGAACTAACTCTCCAGATTCAAATTCACCTGC